TAACGTAGACGCGTAAATCATGTGCGTACAGTCAACACTCTTTAAAGCCACAACCCTTACCCCTTCTACTAAAAGTCTCTTTGACATGCAGATACACGCGCGTACACTGCAAGGACGAATATTTAAACACCATTAAATGATGCCCTGTGGATAGCAACCGGTCGCCATTCTGCGTCTACTTTATTGGAAATTCAAGCTTTCAAACGAATTTTTCAAGATGTTTAATTAAAGTAGGTATAAAACAAGAGCAAATGGAAATTCCTGGGATCATAAGGTTATTGAACCTTTAAGAGCCTCCTTGATTGATAAACTTGGTTCAGAAATTGAATTTTATTGTAAATAAAATTAAATAACAAAAATGACGTATAATGGATCACTTGCAAAGTGGAGCCCGGGGCTGTAATCTTTCTTAATAGAAAATGTATAAAGTTTCCTTCGAACTTTAAATGAAACTTTGGATTAGCATCAACTATCTCTATGCGAAGTTTACTCCCTGACTAGCTGTCCAAAGAGGTAGGTGGCTACACCATATTAAACTAACAGAAACACGTGGGCAAACGTGAAATCGTTGTGTTAAAATCGTGGGACGTATCGAACGATAAACGGTAAACGAGGAAACAGAATTTCGCAGTCGACTGCGATTAAATCAGCTTTATTTTATTTTTATTTTTATTTGTTTTTCTTTAACGACACAATTTATTGGCATATCGCAGACTTTCGATAACATTTTAATCCCGTGTGGCATAAAAATTTTATTTTAATCAAATTCCTAAAATCCTAATATAAAATCCTTCCGCTCTTTAATCTAATAATAATTTAACCACCTCTGCAAAGACGCACACAGTTCGCAATATTTCGTAATTATTCCTTTGAAATCCTTTGACTTTCAAGCCCACTGAACGTGCCACGTTCGTTTTCATCGTCTTACTTTACACCGTGCCAAATTAAACCGAACTGCTATTGCTAGCGAGACGGAAAAGGTGTTTCACGCGTTCCCTCTCGTAATCACTCCGTTTTCCAGCGGCTTTTTCCCGCTCGTGTAATAACGAGGAAAACACGGGGATCGTAAAATCCGGGTCGTTTCACCGTTGCTGGTACTCCGTGGCCGGAAATTCAAAGGCGATCTACGATTGCACCGAGCTTAAGAGCGGTGTGATTCAAAACGAATGCATTTTAAAGGTGTTCGCGGCAGCTGCATTTCGAAATTCTTTTCAGCTTCACGTCGAACAGCGGCGCGAAACGATGCTTACGGAGATCGAGATCGGTTAACGAGCACCGGCAGTAATTTACCAACGGTTAGTTTACATTTTTACCTGACGCTTCGATCCTTCTTCATGACTTCACCATGCTTGCACGCTTGTAATTTATGCGATCGTGAATCGAGAGCTTAGAATATGGCTGTAAGGTGCGACCAGAAATAGCAAGTCTTGTATAAATCATTTCCATCTTGTCAGCATTAAATACGTATCGTTCAAATTACATATATATATAGAATGATATTAGAATAATTTAAAATTAAAATTAGAAAGAAGAAAAGGAAAATTATAAGCATGATGAAAAATATTGTAAAGAATTATTCCTTTGGTACAAATTGATCAAAGAAATGATTAAAATATACTGAATCACTAATTTTCATGAAATGTAAATTTCAATGTCGAGAGAAAGACGATTTCAAGATTTTACAGGAACGCACAAAAGAAAGTACCTTGTAGTTCGTTTAAATAACACCGAGCAGATTCAAACAGACTCGAGAACAAGTAGCACGCTAAGATCCTCCGAAAGAAACACGTTTAAAGAGAGTTAATCACTCTTTCACAAGCTTATTAGCATTGATCCACGGTGCAGTACACGCAATGTGTATGGTTGAAATTTTAAATACCCTGACGACCGTCTGCTTTAAGGATCTACGGTATCTTAAGATTCATCCTTCAGCATTCAAAAGGTAATGTTTTTATTTCGCAGCGGTCTTTGATAGCGATAGAAAAAGGTGCGAACTCGAAAAAGGTTACAGTTTTATCTCCTCGTCACCTTGGAACTGAAATTACCACCGTTTCATTGATAAGATGCACGTTAATGAATACTTATCTGCTGGACATGATATTAAATGTAAAGCCTTTTCAAGTAATTCAAGTAGTTTCTGTGTACTGAGTTATCTCGTGGATTTTATCGCAAAATAGTACTCCAGACATAGTATTTTAAAATTGAAGGACTGATTAAAATAACAATCTACGTCTGCAGAATTTTATGTTCTCGAGACGAAAATTTATTTACAATGGGTATTTAATGACCAGGGACGAATCAAGGGTGGCCATTAGAATTTTGGGAAATTTCCGATGGAACGGTAGGGATTCGAGGGCTAATTAATTAAAATTTACAGTGGATGATCAAATTACTAGAGCCATCATATGAAAAGTAGGTTTCTCGTGTTTGTATAGAAAGAGAACCACAATTTTAAGGTTTTTACATTGAATAACTTTTAATCAATAATCCTCTACTAATAATATATACAAAAATACTTACATAACAACAAAAATAACAAATAACTTATATAAAATAACAAAAATTCCGTTTAACTCGGTTTTCACTTAAGGATTAATGATTTTTACGTAAAATCATCAATTTACGCGAGTGGCTCTAATAATTTGATCATCCACTGTACCACAAGAGAGCCTATTTCTATCTCTAAATCCATCATGCAGCGACCTGCACTAATCACCATCAGTTTCGAATCATATGCATGAAACAAAAAAGAGAAAGAGAAAGTGCTAAAATGGAAGAGAAAAAAAAAATGATGGCGAAAGGTAGATTAAAGTCTTTCTCGGACAACATTCCGGATCGCTTTAGGTCGTAAGTAATTCACGGCGAAGCATCTGAAAGCACTCGGTTAAAGCGTACCCCTCGAACAGAATGAAACTTCAATCGCGTATACGGTGGCTGGCTGGCTTCTCTGCTCTTCCCTTTCTATTTCCCTTCAGTCGTTTCTCTTTCTCTATCGTCGCTCCCTTCGATTTGAAAGCTCGCTAAAGGTAATTGGTTGAAAGGGAAGAAAGCGCTCGAAAGCCCGCATTCTTGTTGCCGCTCGATTTGTGGGTATAATCGTTTTAATTAAGCTCGATTATCCGCCTTCTCTTTGCGCACAGGCAGCATCGGTCAAAGGAAATCAAAAGACTTCCTTTGTTGCTCGAAATATTTCCGTTCCCTTTTCGTCTGCTACCACGCGAATGCTTTCCCTTCTTTCCCTTTCTTTGTCACTGCGGGATGATTTTTGGTGCGGAAAGCTCGCCACTGATAAAAATAATTGTACGACTAACAGCGATCGTCGAAGCGCTCCACGGAATCGTTGGATGCTTCGATCGAAGCAAAGGCAGAAACGCGTTTCGGATCAATGATCGTGGAAAAACGAGCACGATGGAAAAGTGAAAGGCCGAACGGAAGTAAAGATGTCGAAACGCATCGATGCAGTATCTGTCGCTCGGAAACAAACAGCTTAATGCGCCTCCGACAACGCCCACCCCTTATGAATCTCTAATACGCTGCACAATAACCTCTTCTCTCGAGTACCAGAGGACACGTGGGTGTCTCAGAGGTGTTGGATACACTTCCGTCGGCGAAAATGTCTGTAAACGGAAGCCACGTGTCCAAACAAACCGAGAGAAATATTTATAAGATCCGTGATCTCTTTCGCACCACGTAATCATTTGTAGTTAAACTGAGACAAGGAAATAGGACAAGTTTGTTTGATATTTTATAAAAAGATTGCGATTTAAAGAGAAATTCTTAAGTGCGGTTTTCTTGATTTGAAGAGAAATTATTAATTTTATATAATATTTTATTGCTTTGATATTATTTTTTAATATTTCAAACACATGGGTTTAAATTTTCATTAGAAAATATTGATCGATGCACGACACGTTAATTAATTAATAACGAAAATCAACAACTTTCAACGATCCCTTGAGATTTAGTAGAAATTACAGGGTACGTATTGAAATAACTTGGAGCAAACAACCTGTCGTTACAACGTGCACATGCACCACATTTCCTGTCACCCCGGTGGATCGAGTTATATCAATTTAAATAAACTGGTACCTATGAAACGCCCACCTAAACAGGCCGCACTCGCTCCGACTAGGAAGAGAATGTTCCCCATAGGAAATGCACGGTACACGTTATGAAGATAACAGTCCTCTACGTGTAAGCATTCATTGTAATGTATACATATAAAGATGACCATAGAAGCAAACATTCAACTGCGAACCTCCTAATAAAGCGTCGATTAAGTTGAGTTCCTCTTTTATTAATGGACTATCTGTTTTACAAATTTTCCTTCTAAATATACGAAAGAATTTTCCTCTTTCTTTTCTTTATGGCCTAGAAACCTCCTCAGTGATTACAAATTAAAATAAAATGAAATAAAATAAAATAAAAAGAAGGATAAAGTGTTCTTTTGAAACAGGTACACCAATGGGTGCGGAATAGAATTCTAAATAGAGGGTGGTGAAGAAAATCATGGATTCGAAAAGGGGGTCGTTTTCGTACGGACACGGAGTAGAGACTAGCAGAGTAATTTCCTTAGAGCGCATTGTCCTCGTCGCAGAAAAGTCGCTCGGCGTCGCATCCGTCTCCGTCGTAGCAGTTTCCGCGGCAGCCGTGGAAATGCGGGCTGAATTTCCGCGCCGTTGAACGCGTACTGTGTCGGGACGAAAAAACAAAAAAAATGCCGGGTACAGCAATCATTGCCGGCAGGGAAACAGGCGAAACGAACGGGCTATGGAGCTTTGTTTCGAGTGCACCTTGCTCTGTTCGCAAAAGACGGAACATCGTGCACGAGAATCGGTTCAGGCTGCAATTACGCGTTCGATTTAATCGGGCAGAAACACGAGGTGACGACCAAGCGACGTTCGCGAGTGCTTCCGGTTCAGAGGAGAACGAGATCGATCGATCGGAAAGTTTCAACCCGACGATCTTTCGATTACTCGATGTTTACACTGCATGCTTCAGCTATTCAAGTGATTGATGAGCTCTTTCTTTATCAGCCGCCTGTTTGGCGATCGATTGACTATGAATTGACGAGTTCAAATGGTAAGTGGTGTATAATGGCGTGTAAATTAGGCTACTATTAATTAATAGGAAGCGGCATTTCATCGCTCTTCTTATTTATCTATGTTCTGTAGGTATGAGACGGTCGGAGTAACTGGGATTTTCTTGGGGATAAGCCAGCTTCCTTAACTTCATTAACAGAATATTAGAATCTTAGAATTTTGGGATTTGAAGAGTTTAGAATTTTAGAATTTTAGAATATTAGAATATTGGAATTTAAAAATAGTGAGGGGGCTGGTCCACGTTTTGCAATTTTGGAATTTGAGCCTTTGAGAATTTTAGAATATTAGAATCTAAAAATAGTGAGGGGGCTGGTCCACGTTTTGCAATTTTGGAATTTGAGCCTTTGAGAATTTTAGAATATTACAATGTGAGAATAGTGAGGGGGCCGGTGCACATTTTGGAATTTTGAGATTCGAAAATTTCAGAATCTCCAAATAGTGAAGGGGTGCACATTTTGGGAAGCCCTCTTCCACCTTGGCCTACCCTGGTCCCTACCTAATTATGCTCACGTGTAAGGATAGGAGATTCTACGTTAGATTCCTCCTAACTTCAACTAAGACTCCATCTAAACTCACCCTCAATTCTCCTAAAAACCAAGCCCTCTGGTGGAGTCTTCTGAATTTTGATATTTTTTATAGAAAACTTAGTCAAACTTAGAATATATCGAGAAAGAAGTTAAGTAGGATACCAAAACTATAGACAGAACTATAGCACGTTAAAACGTTAATTATTTAATTATATTTAATTTATGATGCCGATCACTCGAATAAAAGAGAAAAGGGAAACCAATAAAGATCCTACGTTTAATTCTCACGTATCCTCGATACAATAACAGCTTACGAACACACGATCGTTTCTTCTTTTATCATCTCTTATCTAAACAGTTCTGTCCGACTTCTCTTAGCTCGGAGCGTATCTTCGAAAAGGTTAAAGGAACTTCTTGGTCGCACATTCAGCCGGTTGAAAAGAACACGAAGAGGGTGAAAGAGAGAAAGGTAAGGTTGCCTTGTCCTTCTTCCTTTCTCTTCTCAACAATGGGGGCGTTCCACTGAGTTATCGATCGTTTTCACGTTCCTCAGGCACAAGGAACAGGTCTCGAGTGAACCTCGGCTTTACGATCCTGCAAGCACGACTCGAATTCGTGACTCTGGCCGCGGCATCGAAATCGATCTATCATACGATCTTTCCTCGATCCTGTGCCGGCGAGCTTTCGCGGCGACGATGATTACGTGAAAACGTAAACGTACTACGTGACGGTCTTGGTCTAATAATAGTTCCTACATTAACGAACTTCCGTGAACTCGCCATTAAGGAAAACGAGGAAACCGGAAAGCCGAAAGTGTGGAGTAAATATAGACGTGGCTGCCTTCTGGTCGGGCCAGCTGTGAAAACTTTTCCTAGTTCGACAAGCTGCACAGAGGATTCCAAACTTGTTGTCTCCAAAAGTTAGTTAGTGATCGAAGAGCACCTTGTATAATTCTTAGCCTTTGATGGAACTGAAGTCCTGAGTTTGTATTAAATTAATTTCTCAATTCAAAGCTTTCATTTGGTATTTTTAATATCGTCTTAAATCTTCTTCCCTTCATAATTATTCGGCTAAACTAAATTTCCAATACTGTATTAAAAGGAATAATTAATTTCATGGTTTAGCAGGACATAGGAGAGTGAAAATAGACCGCGTGCAAGGAATATGAAATGAAATGGAATCAGGAAGATCGCAGATCAAAGTTTCTCACGACGTACGTTCAAGCACAACCGATACGCAATTTCACGCGATATCACGCGTCAATTTGTACCGTCAATTCCGGACAATCGTGTCTACCAGTAATTTCACGTAATGCTCGTCATTACCAGCGTCCAGACAGGAACAAGCTTGGCTCGAACTTCGTGTAAACCGTCCAACGCTAATATTGTCCTTTAAGCTTCGAAATTGCACAGGAATTGAGAGGAAGCAGTCACGAGAACGACGGATACACTGTGTGGTGTAATTCAAACACGAGATGCAATTCATGGTGATAGGAGGCCCACAATGTTTGGACGAGGTAAAGATACGAAATTAGGTAGAATAAGATAAATTCGAAACAGTATAACACATTTCAAAAAAATATGAAAGACAGAGAAGAGAATTTTAAAAAATCAGAAGTAAAATTCAAACAGCTTTCAAGACGACACCAAAATATGAAAGTTACAAAGAAAATGTACAAAAGTTGCAAAGAAAAGAAAATATAAGGGGAAGGAAAGATGCGAAACGATCGAGCGATCAGCAGCAAATCGCGGAGGACACAACCGAACGAACAGAAGCTAACTATCATGACATGCTTGCGTGTAGCTTCGAACAATTAATGACGGAATCGCGTGCGTGACTTCTCGAACGAGCGAGGGGTGCAGTTAAAGTACAGCACCTTTGGAAAGCAGTGGAGGCACGCGTCGTCTACCTGCAGCACGCCTGCGTGCACCAACTGCATAGGTGCACGCGTATTCCTGTCGGGGGGTGCGCGATGCGAGTGCATGATTTACAAAGTGTTTACTGAATTCGCTACCCCTCCGAAAAAACTTGCTGCAACAACGGCACAGAGGAAAGCCAGAAACCTTCGTAATTATTCCAACGACTCCATTGGGGGCTATGGTTTTAATATAAGGGCGTTTTTATTAGTGTGTAGTGTTTAACATTGTACGATTTATTTCCTTCTTTAATCTCTTGTATTCCCTCGAAATTTAAATGTCGACTGTATTGCACGTGGAACAAGTTGACAAAATCAATTTCTTTGTTTTAATGCTCTGATAACTTGAATGAGTTATGGCAAAGATAATTTTATTCAATGTTTAAAAGCAATAATTTTAATACCAAGAAACTTGAACATTTAAATTAAAGTGATACATAGACTACACGAAATGCTTGTTACCTGCATGAAATACGTTTGTTCTGGTAAATAAGATAAGAAACGACATTATTTATGGAACTAACTGATATTAATGATAACAGTAGCTATTTGACTCTGATTGCTTCTTGCATGTGAAAAATTGGTGTAACTTAGACCTTCTATTGGAGCAAGCCAAGTTCTTTAGAAATTTTGTAATTTAAAAATTTGGGAAATTTAGAAACTTTGAAATCTTGGTAACCAGAAATTTTAGAATCACAGACTTTCGTAACTTTGGAATTTTTGAATTCTCAAATTTTGGTAATCTGGAATTTTATAATTTTGTAATTTTGAAGTGTAGAAGAAGATTAAAAGATTCTGAAGATTCTGAAATTGTGAAATTGGAGAATTATGAAATCTAAAAATTTTAGAATAATGATGATCCACATGTTTAGGCAAGAACCAGTTCAAATTTTGGGAGAGGGGAGCAAGCTCGCCCTAAAAGAGAATCTTATTAAATTGAAAGAAAAATGTGAAAGAGACATCATTCTGACGGGAGGTTAATTCGAATAAATCTCATTTGTTTCTCCTTGTTGCGAATGAAATTACCTTCTAAGGATGGAATCGTTGACTCGGAAGAATAATGGCACTTGTCTGGGAGGAAAGTTAAAATTCATATCCTTCGAATAATTATGACCGGTACTGTACGTGCCTTGCAAGATTTACGAGCCCGCCACGAACTGCACATGAACAAAATTCTCGACAAAATTCTCGACGCTTTAATTTATGAGATGCATTTTGTTTCAATGAAGAGCAGACTAACGGTGAATGCATGTAATACGCAGACTACCATTGGTACTAAATAAAAGAACTATATGTATGTAGATATACGGATCTGTTTATGTTATAAAACAGACGTTCATAAAATCTGATGCTGAATAAGCTCTCTAACGTTTCAAATTAATAACTACAACGTCAAATACAATATTTCATTCAGAAGATATTTTTCACTTTCTCTTTCACAAATAAAATTTAAATAAAATTAAAATTGGAAGGGGTTAAATGATTTCTTTGATATCTCTTTATAATTTTAATAATTGTTTCTTAATTTTTAGTCAAATACACAGATATTTATATTTTTTATTTTAAATGTCTAAATAATAAATACAATTAAAATTCTGTTTTTATTAAGAAAATATTTCAGCTGAAAACTGCATTCATCTAAATATTTTAACAATTCCAATAATTTTCTCAAACTTTTATGAAATTTTAAGAGGTATTCTATGACTTTTGAATAAAAGAGGAAAATAGAGATGGTTAATTACCAGACCGCAATCTCTTAATAAATTCAACATCAAGCACATAAACGTTCGACGACCACTTCAAAAGTGAACTTCCATACAGAAACCTCGACTCTTTTCCTGCTCCATTGAATTACGATCAAACAACGAAAAGAGCAAGACCACCTTCAATCACGCGAGAGCCATAATCTGAAAAGAAATATCATAAACGAGCCACGGTACCATGGAACCGACGAAACTGCACGTAATTCCATTATTTATCACACAAAGGGGGCGTTTAACGTCGCGAAGCGAAACAATCGGCGCCATGCTCGCGGTTACACCGGTAAAAAAAGAAGGATACAGTGGCAAAGGATGTCTTGGGATCCTTGTAACCCCTTCGGGGAATCTCTATCCGAGAAACACAAGGGTGCGAGGTGTGTATAAGCAGGGGACACGTGGTGCAAGCGACTACAAGGTACTTCGAAGGGGTGCGAAGATAAACCCTGTAAACATTCGTGATAAAGCTGGTCCCCGGGGAGACGAGAAGAGATTCAAGAAAAGACGAGTACGACGTTCCCCTTCTTCGCTGTCCTATTGTTCGACGATTAAAGGCAGTCGAAAGAAAGAAAGAGAGAAAAGAAAAATGCAAACGAGAGAAATTCAATTGTGGAGGAACGAGAAGTTTCCTTGGTCGGTAGAGGGTTGCTAAATGCCAGGGAGAGAACAATGTGTCAGGAAAGAACACACGGACCAGGAAGAGAGTTTGATTAAATCCGAGATTCAGGGAAGAACTCGGCTTCCGTGAAATCGATTCGCTCCAAGACCAAGAAAATGGCTCGATAAGATCGCTGCTTCTTTGGAAACGAAGATTAGTTGGAATAAGTGTCGTTGAAAAGATTACAACAGGGTGTTAAATTGTACATGCTGTACCGTATCAAACTGTTTCACGTCACAGGGTTGATCGTCATCGTTGGTGAACGCGATCGTATCGTTAATAATGCACCAGCTGCTCGTTTATCGCGATAAGAAAGAAGCCGCGGTAAGTATCGTTAATCACAGTGAAAAAGCTGTGGCAAGTATCCTTAAATATTTGCACACCTAGCAGCTCTTCTTCGCGACGATAAGACCGCGTTTGCCGGCGATAAGAACCTCCGATAACACGTCACCTCGGCCCTGTTAAATATTCAAATATTCCGGCCACTTTTTGCTCCTAAGGAGCGCGCTACTTCTTACGCGACCTTGCCATAATGTTCAATAAAAGGTAATACGTTCACTCCCTCTTCCGTTGTCGATTTTCTATAATTTATGAGCGAGGAACATAAATTTTCGAAGTGCAAGCCTCGTTTTCCTTCCCGTTTCCTCCTCGATCGTTTATATCCTTGCGTAGAGCAACAGCCGTTCTAGTTGCAGCTTTCCATACGTAATGTGCACGTTACACTAATTGCAGAGAAAGCTATTGTTGAGACTGGCTAGACCAAGCCTTTAAATTGCAACACTGGCGGCCAAGGGGAGGTTCGAAAAGAAAATTTGCATATGTTTCGCTGTTGTATTGAAACCGACTGAACGCGACATAGGCAAACGTCGTTAATTTCCATGATAAACGCGATCCGCTCGTATCCCAAATGGGAACGAAACCGATGTATGCATTTGACAGATGCAAATTTTTTGGAAAAAGTGAACGGGTATTGTAACGAAAAACAGATTCGTTCAAAAATTCAACACCGTAGCAGAATGTTCATAAAATTGATAATATTAGCTAGGTAATAAATAAAACCCAATGGAACTTATTTTAATTAATAATAAATATTATTATTTGTTGAATTGAAACACATTGCAAATGCTAATATGTATATGAAACACCCTAGGGGTTATATTATTCCTGAAAAACTTCCATACTAATTATCGATATATAAACAAAAAAATTCATCTATCTATAATATTTCAAATCTACAAACACTACCACTGATCCACCCATTACTTTCCATTTTTGCATAACTATCAGAAGAAATGCCTCGATACCCGGTATACAGAGGCGATATCGTGGAAATGGGTCTGGATAAAGCATAGAACAAGAAGA